CTCGCCAGCTATCATACAATAGCAAAATCCATACGTACATCTCCAGGTTAACAGCATTTGAGTTCGGATTGGGGTGCCTCTAAGCCGCAACCTTCTCGCCCTTGGCAGTCTCAGTCAGGCCCTCAGCGGGAATCTCAGCATCGGTGTTCTCGAAACTCTCGCCCCTCTTCATGCCGAGCTGGCGGGTATCGTAGCCGTTTGCTTCCAAGTAAGCGCGGTAGCGCGCGTCCTCGAGTGCAATGGTGTCTTGGCCGATGTGCGGCAGGCAGAAAATCGCGAGGGCGGCGGACAAGACGCAAAGCGAGGAGGATACCCAGAAGGGATATTGGGCAGAGGCGACGGCGTTGTCACCGGCGGCTGCTTGGATGTACGGGAAAACTAGATTGACCTTGTTAGCCAAATAATCTCTATAACCTTTGTTACACCAGGCATGTGTAACTTACCCCATGTACCGACGAAAGCGCCAATCTTGCCAATGGCAGCAGCGACACCATAGTACTTGCCGCGAATGCCCGTCGCGCAAGTCTTTGCGGCAAGCAGACCGATGTTGTTACCGGGACCGAACTCGCCGAGCGCCAAAAAGATGCCGTACACGACGACAAAGCCGCCGACCATGCCGGGCTGCGATAAGTTGAAGTAGTCGCCGGCCATGATGAAGCCGACGACGGCCTGCAGGAAGACACCGAGGGCGAGGGCGTAGCGAGGACCAAGCCAGTCCGAGGCCGGGGCGCCAAGCATGGTGCCGGGGATGTAGAACAGGTTAATGACCGTGTTCCAGCCGAAGACGGTGGTGAGCGGAGCCGTATCTCCATACAGGTTGCTCAAGATTGTTGAGGAGTAGATACCGAAGGAGTAAGCGGAGAACTGATGTCGGAACTTAGTGTGTGTGATTCATCATAGTGCCCACAGCTTCAACATGACTTACATCATAGATGAACCAGATCAAGCTGACGACGAAGAGACGCCATCCGTAAAACTTGAGTGAGAGAAGGTAGGGCGTCTTCGCGTAGCGCATTGAGTTCTTGGTCGATGCTTCGGGCTCCTTGACGAAGAGACGGAGGGCGAAGAGGAACATGGGGAATACGACGCCGATGCCCAAGCTGGTGCGCCAGATGGTGCTGTAGTGACCATTGTGGCAAGCGGCTGCGACAACGTATGGCACGAATGCTATGCTCTAGTATCAGTGTCGCCAACATCAAGATCAAGAGTCTGCAGAACGAACCGCCAATAACGAAACCCTATTTCACAATGTTAGCAAACATGCAATTGACAGTAAGAAGATGGCGAGGTACGAACCCAATCAATCATGGTGTTTGTGAACATGATGAACCATAAGTTTCTCGAGCCCGACTTTAGCTCGCCGGTGGACTCTGCTGCGCCGACGCTACCCGCGGGGTACTCTCCTCCAATGCCGATACCGACCTAAATGTCATCGCGATGACGTTAACAATTGCACTTTCTTCTGAGCCCATGCGCTTGTCCCGAGCACTTCGAGCCAGATTTGACAACGAAGCAAGGAGGACCAGTCTGGTTCAGACTTACAAAGAATCGCCATGCGGCCAGGATGTTGAACATGCCAATATCGTCACCCTTGTAATAGGATCCGGCGGCGAGCGCAGTGAAGACGAGCAGGATAACGGTCGACACGAGCAGCGAGTTGGTTCGCGACCAATGGTCAGCGAGCCAGCCGAACGCGAGCTGTCCAACGACGGTGCCAGCAAATGCGATGTCGCCAACGTACTTCTTGGCGTTGGAGTTCTTATAGAGGTCGCCGTACTGCAGTGCGAGGATCGTGGTGACGGATCCGATGACCTATGCCCCACGTCAATGACAGTTCCTGAGAGATGTTATGCCAAAAGCGGTTGCGCTCACGTTGTTGATGTAGCCGTCGGAGAAGAGACCGGCACCGCAGGCAATGACGGGCACAATGGCCTTCCGGAACGGTTGGCGGGGCGCATCATCGACGGCGACGGCCTCTTGCGCCGTTGCCTCGGACTCTGCCGACTTCTTTCTTCGGAAGTTAAGCATTGTTGCGGCTCTTTTTCTCGTGTAAGTGCTCAAAGCCGCGCTCAGTGTGTCGAAGGGAGAAAGGCCCTACGACACTGCGACAGAAGGAAGCGAACAATCGAGAAGATGACGGCACAGACAAGATTGTGCGCGTGCGCGAGGGGGGGAGAGGCGAGAGGTTGTGCGAAGCGGCGCGCAAAGGTTAAAAAGAATAGGCGTGACGAGTCAAGAAGCGCAAGGGGAAATCAACATGGTATTTATTCGGACGATCACAAGCCCTTCGGGCCAGCCACAGCATGATCTGCCAACCAGAGGGGCCTCTCTTCTCTCATGTTGCTTTGCGGTGTCTCTTCTTCCCCCCACTTACCACACGCCCTCGGAAGCAGCTCTGCTGTTGGTTGCTTTCGTTCTATGGTAAGTAAGTATTTGTGACAGACAAAAGAGAGAGATAAACCTTGGGAATGCCTCGGGTGTCCCGTCCCACCCTACCTTGTTCCCCGGCGGACGGGACCCGGGTTCACCCAATAATGGGCAGCCAGCCCCGATGCAACATAATCGAAAGGATTCTATGGGTCCCTCTCCCCTCTCTCACGAGTCACCCACGGCTCCCAGAACGGTTCTTCAGAGGCAGACAAGTGGTCTGTTGGTTTTCTTTCGAGGGAGAACGAATCCACACCAGATAACATTTGCGGGCAGATACCGGGTTGTATGCTGATAAGGCACGGTTATGCGGCAAGAGGGGGAGGAGTTTGGCGATTCCCTACGGAGTACATACACCCGTTGGGACTTTTCGGTCTGGGCGCGGGCAACACACCATACGCCGCTCACCTGGGGAACACGGGGAGGAATTCTGAAGAACCAAAGCACGGGGAGAGAGGAGTGGAGGGGGACATGGAGGGAGTGTGGGAACCCGATGTTACCCATCCGCTACCTTAGGCGACCTGTTGGTTCGTGTAGAGCTGCAGTAGTTCATGTGTTTCTCGACTCGTCTCCCGCTTTCCACAGGTTGATGAACAGGTGGCACAGATGACGCTGCGATGAGAAGAAGCACCGTAAGCCAGAGAGAATCGGAGGTCGCGTGTCTGATTTCCTACAACAGCCAATTGTGATTCGATGAGAAAAGGATGCATCGCTAAGCTTTTTCCAAGCGGTCTAGCGCTTCTCGGCAGCCCTAGGAGGCTCACTTCACTTGGCGCTCTCCCACCTGCTGCCAAGGCTTTTCCCATGCGACCTTGTTGTTGCTGAGCTAAGGTACGTTGGGGGAAATGGTTAGCGTAGTTGTGGTTTGCCTAGAGCACTGTATGCTGACCTGTGACACATGAAAACCTACGAGCGAATACGTTGACAACTTTCAACACGTGCTGCTTCTCAAAGTATTAGCAACCGAGACTAGGCCGATTATTTCGCAAAACATGCGACATGGAATCCATAAATCGTTGAAGGATAGCCAAAGAGGCGGACAGTAAGTCCGATATTACAAAGACTCCAGGCTAGATCTATTGAGTCTTGGACAGCAGGTCGGTCGCCGAACTGCCGTCATTCGAGAAAAACTTTACCAAATTGCGCGGCTCAAGCATCTGCATGAGAGCACGTGGTCGGGTTGCTCCGTACATACAAACATCATTTCTCAATTCACAAGCACTAGGATGTATCATGGTAAAATCTCTGCGTATTGCCGTTGCGCGACCTTTTTCTCTGCGGCCAATCCAGTGCCGTGTTGCCCACCACGTGCTTGCGGCGCCGATGTGCCGCCTTTGCCGGCCCGCCCCGGCTTTCGGTCCTGTGGCGGCGCGAGGACCCTCTTCTGCCCTCCCGGGGACCCGACATTGCCGGTGTGGAGGCGTTACCAAGGTCAAGATCGGTCAGTATTTAGTCTTCTAGATCCGTAAGTTTGCAGAAGTCTCGATGTTTGCTTGATAATTCGAATACGTTCAACACCATCATCGATGGACAGAATTGACATCAATTACCTGTACGATGTGTCCGGTCTCAATTTAACTCGTTCGCTGATTTCGATTAGTCGCTGAAAAGGTGAAGGTATTACACGTCCGGCAATTCGCCGGAAACTTACGAGCACAGCAGAAAATGACTTCCTAGAAAGTGGAAGAGCGAAGGGCAGCGAGGAAATATATATATACTCGGTGAGAGCATGTAAGGAAGCACGTAACAGAATGGCAGCTTTGTCTGTGCTGAATATGCCAGCCGTACTGCTCGCATTCGGTTCCAGACAGTAACTTTGTACGGAGTACTCCGTACATTGTAGCACTGAAAGATAATTAGATTAACAGAGTCAGTCGCCTCAAAATTTGTCGATCAGTGCCGAATACTACGTGGCCTAACGATTTGTCGTCTGAATAAACTCCAGAAAAACCATCCGGTTCAATCTCATCATGGCAACTTTTTGGCGAGCTGAGTAGTTCCATTCATATACGCCCGCTCTGTACGCGCGGATGCACGCATATACCGCCAGGCCTAACTTAGTATCTATCTTCTACAAAACTGTCGCGAGAACCACGCCCGTTAATCGAGGGCAGCATTCAACGCTCAATATACTACAAGAATAATCTGCTACGCCATTCTGGTAAAAACTTCAGTATAACATGAAGGAATACGTGAACTTTTCCCAAAGAACGATGTTTGCATTGCGTTTATATGACCATTACTCATAACACAAATTTGCGACTATTTTGCGAACAAATGAATGACCATGGTTTCAAGTTAAGATTGAGGAAATAGAGTTATCGTCAATTGACTACCATGACTCGATTACTTGGTCCTTGACATTAGTGTCACAAAGCTTCGACATCGAATACTCGTATTCCGCAGTGATCCAGTTGGTCTGATCACCGCCAGTTTTCGTGTCATATAAGTAAGATCTGATGCACCAATCTCACCATTAAGACCCTGGAGAAGACATTTACATTCTGATTCTTCTTCATTGTCTTTCACTCTTTGAACGTCACTCACTTACTTTACCTCAACACACATTCATCATGCATGCGTTCACTGTCCTCGCACTCCTCACAGCCTCTGCTGTTCAACTCGTCGCCGCGGGTGGTTTCGCGTCGACATGCAGCGACATGACCTACTCGGGTACCACGTTCACCGCGCAATGCAAGAACAACTTTGTTGATCCCTATTTCGAGAAGGCCCCCATTGACCTGTCAAAGTGCCTTGCCAACGTTGGGGGCAAGGTTGTCGTACGTCTATTCCTCTTTCATACTAGGTTCTCCGACAATCCAGGGTTCAATCGACTAATCTGTGAACCATAGTGCCGTCCTAAGAGGTATAGTCTTCTCAAGAAGTCAGAATGGTTGAGGAATCCCCCAAGTACTGATGTATCTCTCGCCAGCCCGTCCTTCAAGTTTTGTGACTGTGGTCTCGGCAGTGACAAGAAGATTTTGAACTGCCGTTGCACTGACTCTACTGGAACTAAGCAGCCTTCGTCTCTGAACCTTGGTATGTATATGCATTGTGTCATGGCTGGCTAGATGCCTTCGAAGCTAACAATTCTGTAGATACCTGCCTGACCAACAACGACGGAAACTTATCATGCTAAAGCCTCGCGCCGGCCACAACTGAAATTGGTTCGAATACATAGAGTGATAGGGAAAACCTCAAGGCCCAGGACAGTGGGAGCTAATCGAGAGATGGATACTTTGTCAGAGGGTCAAAGGCTAAATGCCCCAGACATGTTTAAGCGGAATGTGTATTTGGTGGATTACTGAAGACCTCGACTAAGTATCTAATCGAAGTGTATTTATAGACGAGCCTCAGTATCTTCAAATCCCGTCTTTGGCCATGTGTATCCTCTGCGCCTGTCCTTTGTATCCAGCCGCGCCCATACCAGACTGCGACCAGGCTGGCCCTAAGCGTAGAAGTCAGGCCGATCTTAATGTCTGTTCTTATGCCCTTTGACCATCACCTCCTCTTTTACGCTTGCCCGTCGGACTGTCTGCGGGGAAGAACAATATCGCCAAGCTAGTGCTGTGTCTAGCTGACTTCGAGACCCTGCCGATCTCCCGGCTAGCTCAGAGACTGAGGTCGAAGAGGCTGTCCGCAATAGCACAGGCGGTGAATGTGGCCCTGCATCCTGATCCCGAGTCTACCAGACGTGCCAGCTGTGCGGCATCGGAGAGCCTTTAGCTAGGCACTGGACGACAATGCCATAAGGCATCTCTAGGTTTCTGCTTGTTGATGCGAAAGTGGAAGCTCAACTTAGATGCCGCTGGTGTGGTGCAGGCCAGCCCCACAGACGCCCTTAAGCCAGTACGGAGATGAGTAGCATCCTGGTTGGACTCACGGCACCTTAAGTTACCAGTGTCACAGCGGCTTAGCAGAGAATCGTAGTCAATTCACCACGAGACATAGGCTCGAGCCCACTACCGACTTTTGGGATTGATTTGATAGCAAAGGCTCAGACTTGCCCCAAATATTTCGGTCGAGAGCCCGCATCCGAAGTTCCAAATGCCGTGTGTAATCAGCTGTCATTCTGATGGACGTGTACTTCATCATGCCTCCGTTGGCTTAACGTCGTACTCGACTTCCGTCCTAATCACGTACTTGGCACCCTTTCTTACACCAGTACCCTCGTGAAGAGGTGCACCCTTTGCATCTCCATGCGGGAAGACGGCAACTCCGCCCATGACCGGTCGCACCGGGTACGCATTTAGCGTGCCTTCCCGCGCCGCTGGAAGGAAGTAAGTAGTTTCGCCGCCCTCAAATTCGTCGTTCAAGTAGATTAGGAACGTGAACAGGGAGCTCTGCTTCTTGTCTTCGGGCGATGCATCGTAGACATATGTGTCGTCTGGAAGAATACCAGAAGGCGGCCAGGCACCGTCAATGTGCGCGCGGTACTCGGCTCCGGGGACGTAGCGGTACACGCGGAACCGCCGGTTGAGGCCGCGCACCTTTCGTCTGTCGACTGACTGGGGAACAAAGGACGAGACTCTGGACCAAAGCGCATCGTGGAAGGCTGTATCAACGACCCAGTAGAAGTTGTGCGCAAGAATGCTAATGTCCCCATCCTCACGAAGAGGGGCATCGGGGAGGAAGTTGACAGTTTCGCCGGCGGCTATAATTGCTTTGCATTCGTCTACGGAGAGAACGTCTTTCAGGAGGCTGAGCCCTGGCACGACAGGGTGTGCGTGTGCTGTTACTGGTGGCCGTTTGTCGACGAGGGGTATCGTGTTCGGGGCGGTCGTGTAAAGGAGTGCGTCGTGGTGGTTGGGTGGCTTCCGAAGCGGGCCGGGGGTTCGTTCGATGACGCGAAGAGACGCTGCCAAATTCGCCGGCGCTGATTCAAAGATGGTCTTGTCAAGTACAGAGGCGTATACCTGAAGGGATGGCGTGGTGGGACGGAGATCCCAGGTGTTCTGCAGGGCGATTCCGGGTGTAGAAGAGAGCGGCAAAGGCATGGCCTTGGGATTGCTGTCGAAGTGCCCACAAGCTCGTAAGACGGCATCAAGAACCAAGAGTCGCTGCTCGTCCCTCTCAGTTCTCTGTAGGGTGACGCCGTCTCCCTCCCCTTCAGGCAATGTGGATAGGCCGCTAATGACGTCTAGGTCTCGCACCCAGCGACACAGTGCTCCTAGCTTCGGTTCCTGGCCACGGATTCTCATTTCGGATAGCAGTATTCTGGCATCATCGTATTTCTCGTCGGTGAGCGCGCCGGTGATTCGTGCCGTAAGTCCAAGATTTGTACCGGCTGAAGCAATCAATTGTCAGTTCCTGGCAGATAGCGACATCGTGTGATATGGGGTCTACACACGGGCATTGTTGACACCACTTGCGCAATTCTGACGGAAGTCATAGACGGCAACGCGAAGGTCTCGGCATTGCTTCGATTTGATAAGATTCGGGTATTTAGCGAGGGTATTTAACGTGTCAATGGCGATGTCGAGTTCCTCGTCCGATATGACCGTCTGGAGGCTCTTGGGCTCGAGGTTTGAGGCGGTATTGTCGTCGCTGTCAGGTGGCGTAACTGTTGTCGCTGCGGTCTTGGGAGCTTTTCGCGGAAGCTCCTCCTGCGCGTTTTGCTTGCGCTTCTTCGCGGCCTTTGATTTCGCCATTGTTGAGATGTTACAATCGTGATGAGGCGTTTGTCGTCGGACGAAGAAGTAGGAGTAGAGTGGCGTTCAGTGAGCTGAGATTTCGGACCAAAGCTTCGAAAGTTCCAATGCACCACCGCCAGTCCAAGGGTCTTGCCCCGCCGAGGGGTTCGGCCAATCGCCCAGTTGCAGCCTGAGGCATCGAAGCTAAATCCCGCTGTGGGGCCGGCCTGTGTCCGGGGCGGATCGGTCTAGGTCCGGGGTACCCTTGGCTAGACCTACTTCCCCCCGCTTCATTATTCAATCTACTCAGTTTTGAGGTGGCACAATAATGAGGACTACTCCGTATTACGACTACAACTCGGAATTCTGTCGCTGCGAATCATTATCTCGTTGTGTTGGCAAGCCAACTGTCGAACAAGTAGTAATGTTGGTCAAACTATTCCGTCAATCATATTTTAAATTATAGTCCAGGGCACAATGCATAGAAGAGTCTTCGACAGTGCAATGAAGACCCAAGATTCTTCAAAGAAGCCAGAAGATCAGGGTTCATGTAGCTTCTGTGAGGATTACCACATGCTGTATAGTATACCAAAGTGGCTATAATATTGAGTTTTGAAAAGCCTGCACGTGATTCGCATTCAAATCGGCGGCTGAAAGCCGAAAAGGAACCGATATGAGCGGTCAGTTAGTGGGACAGAGAGTGCAGTTTGTTGCTGCACAACAGGCTGTATGGGTTCAGTGTCAATTCTCCTCATGGCGCTCTGACCTGCAACGCCAAAGCCGGTGCGGGACCATGCGGGTGTTGACTATCTCGAAATCCGACGCGGAATTATGACCGTCTGGATACCAGCAGTCGCAGCTCTAAATCTGTCAAGAAAACGTCATGGGATGAAATGTCAAGGAGCTTGCAGATGCATAGAATGCGGACCCACTATGCTCATACGAGGGATGAAGCGATGCACATGCATAACAGGCCAAATCGAGAGGTCTACACAGGAAGTTGCAACGCCTGGCTGCGTTTGTTACGCAAGGCTCATACGTACAACATCTAAATTGAATAAACCCAGACAGAGCGAAGCGGTCTCTAAAAGAACCCTGTGAGCCGAATGAACTAACAAATAGCGGCAAGGTTTTTTATGTCGACGGACTGCGACGGGCCCCGGAGAGTAGACTTAAGCTTCTAGTGGTTTTGGTAGCTGTCCTGTGCTTCTCAGGTGTTTTTACCATTGCCCGCTCGGGGTCAGAGTAGAGGAACTGAGTTCTCTAGTCAGAGTCTAAGGGCGGCATAGCCGTCGATCACGAAGCTTCCCCAGATGCCAGTTCACACCCTCACACAACACTGGGTGTGCAAGCACCAATCAGCAAAAGCCAGTTGATGCTTGACGTAAATTGTACACAAGGAATAACATCGCGGACATTGGCGGACATTCGTGGAGTTGGTTACACATTCGCTCTGTCATTCCCGCACCAGACCCGAGCGCTAAGGAGTACTCCGTACAGCACCAGAGCAAACAAACCGTTAACTGCCGAGCCCTGGACGGGTAGCAAGTGCCGGGATCTAGATCACGAGTGGGGGGCGACGTACACCGGAGTCGGGCCAAGCCGGGCGAGTTATGCATGAAATGTGCAAAGCACGGAGACCATCCGACCCACGGTGACGCTCGCCCGCCGCTACACTCGGCGGAAGCTTAGGTTTATCTCCAGATTCTCCACAAGTATGTAACGGTATGCCGCAGTAGTCCTACGAGAGATCGTCGTTTCACAGGGCGTTCGGCTTTCAAGGTTTGGACCGAATTCCGTCGCCTAAATCAACCATGAGTTGATAAAAAGTGCCTTGGTGCCAGACTTGAAGATAGGATTGATGAGCTGCCACCTATCAAGTTCATCCCGTCTGTAACCATCTTGACAGTTTCAGGTTTCGCGGGGAACCCACGCTACTCAACATGTCGGACCACAGTACTGGCTTCACAGCCCAAATCCTCAATATCCGTACCCTCTGTTCAGCCTTTGCTTTAGTTATTACTCTGGTACGTGATGACTTGCAATCCTTCAAATCTAGTGACCAATTAGATTTCACTGTAGCCCTCGACGCTGACCGCATCTGACCACTCATCTAGGGCGTCGCTTACCTTTTCGGGACCATCATCTACAACGTCTTCTTCCACCCCCTTCGCGTATATCCCGGACCAAAGCTCTGGGCAGCCTCGCGCATCCCCTTCACTCGCGCCACCCTCTCTGGCCAGGTCCACCGCAAGATCTTGGCGCTGCACCAGGAATACGGACCCATCGTCCGCGTCGCTCCCAACGAGCTCGCATACAACTCCCCCGACGCCTGGAAGGATCTCCACGGACACCTCAAGAACGGCACCGGCGACCACGGACGAGATCCCGTCGCGACCCAGGATAGCAGGCATGGCATCATCGGCGCCAACCGCGAAGATCACTCGCGGTTCCGACGGGCCCTGTCGCATGGCTTCTCCGCGCAGTCTATGCTGGAGCAGGAACCCATTGTCAAGAAGTACGTGGACCTTCTCTTCCAGCGACTTCATGAAAAGTGCGCTGGCGGTGCCGAGGCTCTGAACATGGTCGCGTGGTACAACTGGACGACTTTTGATGTCATCGGGGACTTGGCTTTTGGCGAGCCATTTCACTGCTTGGATGACTCTGGTTACCATCCCTGGGTGAAGCTCATCTTTGACGGGATCAAGGGCAACTCTTTCAAGAACTGCATGCGACGATTCCCGCCGATCGAAAAGCTCTTGATACATCTTATCCCGGCCGACCTCCGCAATAAGCGAGATCAGCACATTGCACTCACTAAGGAGAAGGTTTCCAAGAGACTTGCCATGGAGACTGACCGACCAGACTTTATGGACTCTATGCTGCGCACAAAGGGGCCACAGGTAATTCGAACCTACTAGCCGCAAAGTTGCCTACACATTCTAACATTGGGTACACCAGAAACTCACCTTTGAAGAACTCAAATCGAATTCCTCGGTCCTGATCATCGCCGGCTCGGAAACTACCGCAACAGCTCTGTCGGCAATTACCTACTACCTCTGCACAAACCGCCAGGCTCTTGACAAGCTCACCCACGAGGTTCGAACAGCCTTCTCCTCCGAGGAAGAGATCGAGATGGTCAGCGCGCAGCAGCTCCAGTACATGCAGGCGGTCATGAACGAAGGTCTTCGAATGTACCCTCCCGTCCCTACAGGAATCGTCCGCAGAGTTACCGACGATGGCGGCGTATTCTTGGGTCAATACGTGCCAAGCGGGGTAAGTTTACTTTCTATTTTTTCTAAGCGTTGAGAGGGGGTAAGAACGTCATGCTGACAAGGTGGTGATACACAGACGCTGGTCCAGGTCTGGCACTGGCCTGCCTTCCACAGCCCGGAGAACTTCACCCTTCCTGACTCCTTTATTCCCGAACGTTGGCTCGATGATGCTCGCTTCTCTGGCGACAAGAAGGAAGCGTTCCAACCGTTCTCGGTCGGCCCTAGAAACTGCATTGGCAGAAAGTAAGTTGCATTATCCTCCGCCTTCGATAACGTGTTGAATCGTCGGGTGCTAATCTGCTGCGTCTCATAGCTTGGCTTACGCGGAAATGCGTCTCATTCTTGCGAGAATGATCTGGAACTTCGACATGAAGCTATCGGAGGAAAGTGGAGGCTGGGACGACAAGAGCCAAGTCTATCTTCTTTGGGAAAAGGGCCCTGTTAATGTTTATCTCACCCCCAGAGAAAAGGTTTGAATGTCATGCGTGTCGAGGCTTGTATAGACACTAGTTGGCAGTCTTATAAGATGGTTTCTTCGAGAGATCGATTCGGCGTCATGCGCTTGCGTGTAGTTACGGGCAGGCGTTTGGAAATGAAATCAATTGCATATCGTTACTCATGGATTGTGCTCGTCACTTGAGCCAAACTAAAATCTTGGTGCCAGTGTCGTCTTTGCTACCCCAGCATGAACCCATGCAATCATGTAGATCTCGAAGGGACGTCCCATCTTGAATGTTCCGCCCTCCAGTGCGATCAGCACATGATGGTGTTGATGAGTGAGAAACTACATGCAAGGTTGGACTGATAAACCTTGTGCAAAACCATCAGGAAACTGGAAGCCTTGCAATTTGATGTTTGCCGGAAAGTTGTGAAAGTAAGTCACGGGGACATGCTTGAGAAATTGACATAGGACTCTTCGAGCTAAGGTACTCAATATAGAAGGGATCGCGAACTGCCGTATAGCCTATAGGTGAATTATGTCTGGAGGATAGTTTTTGTCTGATTGATGACATCTACGCTCAACCAGGCAAGAGAGTGGAAGTCTAGGTCCGCGTCAATGAACACTTGTATCAAGATGATGCAATTCGAGACCTGAAAACTGTACCGGAGTAGACTCTTTCGTATACGTCAATCTCAAGTGGCCGAGAAGGATGTGATTCCGCATGGAATGTTTCCAAACTATGTATTGAGATACTTTCCGAGAAACATTGCTTATAATTGTGCCTAGATGAGTGATATCGAAAGTATCTGGCAACATCGTGACAAATTCGGGGAGCATCATGTGGATTTGTCGAGTAAAATCTTCAAATGAACCTCCTGAATCACTTTGGCTCTAACCTAAGTACCGGGTTCTTAGAGGATATTGCACCCTAGAAAACTAATAGCACATGCCCGATTCTCGGCAAAGCCAAATTCAATCGAGATGGAGTACGTTCAGGCTACTTTGACACATGTATGCTTTGATATCACGCTCATGGCATAGATTCACCTCCCGAAGATCTCAAACAAAACTTGAAGAGCACTTTGTGTAGCTGGAGTTTCTTAACTTTCATGCGATTGAGAATTTGTCGAAGCCGTCGTCCCTTCGGTCAATGCTGAGACTGCCGCCCTAAGCGAAGGGACATGCGTGCGTAATGTGAACAGCTCCCCAAACGCTCAATGTTTGCGGACAGCCTCATGCCCAACTGAGTACTTACTATCGGCCGACGACATATTCATGATCAACGACCTATAATGATATGGAGATTTGGAATGAAATCTAGGACTACGTGTGAACATGCACATGATGATAAACCAGTGATAATCATTGTCTAGCATCATTTGGACTCCTTTGGCCCAGGAACACATATTCTCGGCCTGTCCGAGGACACGGATAGCACTCGGTGCCATATTGGAGGGTTCAGTAACCTCCTCGTTCCATGTCGGTATCTCCAATCAGCCTGCCATCGTCGTGCCCTGCCTCGACAATGGGATGAACTAGAGATGTGCACGAGGCATCGTGTCAACTCTCCTCGACGCGTCTGGCGCCGATGTGCCTGTGTCGAGATAGGTTGCTGCCGCTTGGCTGCAGTCTTGTGCGGATGGTTCACGTCGCCTTGACATTGACGCTTGATTCCGATGCTATTGCCTACAAGATTGTGTAATGTCGAATTGTTGGAAAAAGGGGTAGGATACATCAATCATCCTTTTTTGGGAGCCCTGGCGTTTCAAGGTAGAACCTGAGAGATCTTTCGCAGATGCTGCACAAGGTATCGGCCTTGCTTTCCTATGAGTCGATGCTCGGAAGTAGGAATGATGCCTTTGAATGAACCCTCAGTGAAAGATCGTTCAAATAGGGTTGACATTATGTCAATGTGGATGGGGGTTGTTTGGGATGGTCAACTCTTCGTTCCGGGTGATGCATATCCATAGGTCAGCCAAATCTGCCCGCACACGGAGACGGAATCTTCTTGGTTAAAGGATTAAGGGGCCAAATACGTCTGCGCTTGTAATGGCCACTTGGAAAACGTATGGAATGACCAACGATGTTGTTTTTGAGAATGTATCTTAAGCAGTGGTGCTTGAATGGAGAGCTGTGACCGGTGAAATTTACAAACTCAGGTTTTGTCACTTTGAGGGTGAAATTGTCAAAAGTAACCATATTGGTCATTCAACGTGTCGATCCAAATGAAAATGCAAATTGGCTGTGCGCAAGTTTCGTTCCATCTTCCTCACTGGAGTCTGGACTCTGGACAGAACCTCGGTCAAGGGCCAGTCCTCTCTGACTTGTCCGGAGAATGTTTCCAGACGTGACTGAAAAGGTTTAGTCTCAACGGTGCATGTGCTTAGCTGGAGACCGACTTCAGATCAATGTGCTGTTGAGAACCGTTGCGGCGTCGCATTACGAAATGATAGAGGGCGCCCTTACCCGGAATTAGACAAGTCATGACTGACACGCGTCAAATGACGACTCCGAACACCCCTTCCCCCCTCCAGACCTTCATTGCGGTTGAGGGTCACAACTAGCCCGACAGCCAATGACGGCATTTCAGATTGATTGGCTGCGCCCAGATAGGTCCATTTCGTCTCGTCCTAGAAATAGAGAATTAGGGACCCCGGACAAAGTATCGCTGTGCCGGTGAATCCGGGCACAGGGAGGCAGATAGACTGCAGTAGGGCATCTTCGCTGGACGATTCATGTTTGTTTGGTTTACATAGGCTGAGCCGCGGGACGTTGAGACAAGATGAACCCCCCTGAATAAAGTTACGCAAGGCCTAAAAGTTCCGACACTCTCTTTCAGTATGGGAGATTTTCTGCTCCACACCACGCATGCACGCTCAGCTCGTCTGCTCAATGACGAAGATAGCTCAAAGTCAAAAGTCAATTGAGCTGGATATCAATATCTTGAGTAGGAGTTGCCTCTCCAATCTCTTTCTCACAGCTCCCATCTAGTCCGCAACTGTTCCGCGTTGACTGATGCATAGAAGACAAAAAGGGATGAAAATTCGGGGCCCGCGAGAGCGTTCTCCGCCCCTTTCCAAAGCTCTCCCACAGACCGATGTGGCCCAGGGAAATAAACAAGCTTGACATGGTCTCTCCGCTGAAGCCCACTGTCTCCCGAGCTCCGTCAAGCATGTTTTGTTCAAGTCAGCGGAATTTAGTCCAATCTCATTGAAGCTTGCGCAAACGCGCAGCGGCGCCACCCGCCAAGTGGAGAGTGGCCTCGTCATCCGGTGCCCCTGGGAACTTTTACCTGAGAAGGCCCAAAATGTCAAGGAACCAAACTCAGGCAGTCTTCCCGCCAACGTCGGGATCCCCAACGACGAAACGGAATGTGGGAGGCCCGAAGGTCGCCCCCGGGACCAGTCCCCACTCCGGATCGACCCCGGGTTCCGCTCTAGAACCACCTTCTTTCCATCTCAAGCTTCTCCAAGCATTTCTTAACCGCTTGGCGTGTGCTCTGAGGCTGAGTTAAGGACGTCAGGGACACTTAAGGACAGGCACTGGCGTGGAGACGCATTGACTCGAAAAGTTGAGAATGCGCCCTCAGCGGGGAACGAAGTCGTGTATATGAGGCTCAGAAGTACGGAATCCCTGCGCGCCACGACGGCAACGGGTAGCGTATGACCTTTTGCGCGGTCCTGGTTGGACGGATGTTCAGACGATGGACCGCAGACGCTCGATGGAAGAGTCGAAAATAGCAGGGCGGGACGGGAGGTGACGAGGGCTCCCCCATGTAGGGGGATCGGACGAGAGCGAAGTCTCCATCGACTGTCCACATCACGTAGAGATGAACGCGTTGATAATGGAAGATGGCGGAGATGTAGAACGCAGATCGATTTGTATAAAGACTGGTCCCAGCGCCTGACATCTGGGATTTCGAAAGAACCATCAGCCGCAACCATCGCAGCAACAGCAGTCGCTTCTACAACAAAAGATCTACAATCGTTTTCAACATTCGCTATAAATTTGGTCTCATTACAACAGCATCAACAATGGTTCGCATCTCCGCCCTTTCGGCCGCCGGCCTCGCCCTCGCCGGCTGCGTCTCTGCTCACCCCGGCGAGCACCACAGCCATGAGCACATGAAGCGCAACATCCAGCTCCGTGACAACGTCGCCGCCGTCGGCCAGCGCTCCCTGAACGCCTGCTCCAACACTGCTGGTGCTCAGGCCATGAAGAAGCGCGCCGTTGAGCGCCGTGCCCAGAAGGTCAAGGACATCCGCGCCGCCAAGGGCCTCAAGACCCGTAAGTACCTATCTGTCTGAGACTTCTGCGAATATTTACTGACGTTTCCATAGCTGCCCGCAAGTACCGTCGTGATGCGGACGCGCTCACCGCCTGGGAGGAAGTCAATCACAACATGACCGGCTCTAGCAACAACGGCATCTTCACCCCCCTCGAGGATGTATTCAGCGCCAACACTTCCTGCGTCTTGGCTCCCGAGATTACCGACGGCCCCTACTACATCGTCGGCGAAAACATGCGCTCCAACGTCATTGAGCAAAAGTGGTGCGATGGTGTCCCCGTCTTCCTCGAGGTTCAGTATGTCGACGTCGCTACCTGCGACCCCATTCCCCAGGTCGCCGTCGACATCTGGAACTGCAACGCCACCGGTATCTACTCCGGCATCTCCACCAACGGCAACTACGCCGCCGACGGCATGAACAGCACGTTCCTACGCGGCATTCAGCTCACTGATGCCGACGGTGTCGCCCAGTTCGAGACCATCTTCCCTGGCCACTACCAAGGTCGCGCCACCCACACCCACTTGCTCTCGCACACCAACGCGACTCTGATGCCCAACGGCACTATCTCCGTCTGGAATGCCCCCGTCAGCCACATCGGCCAGGTCTTCTGGCCCGAGTCCATTCGCTCCGCCGTCGAGGAGCTCTACCCCTACAACACCAACACGCAGGACGTCACCTCCAACGCCGACGACATGTGGTCCATCCTCCAGGCCGATGCCTCCTACGACCCCTTCCCTCAGTTCGTCTACCTGAGCGATGACCTCCAGGACGGTCTCTTCGCCTGGATCCAGATTGGTGTCAATGCTTCCGCTGACTACACCGATGACGACTACTACAACATTGCCGGCTACCTTGATGAGGATGGTGGCCACTCCACTGGTGCCACTGTTGGCGGTGGCGGTGGCTCCGGCGGCCCCGGTGGCAACGGCACCATGAGCGGCAGCCCTCCTTCCGGCACTGCTGCTCCCCCTTCGTAAGGCACTTTAGTCGACGGGCCTGACGCAGGACTTCGAGAGCTACCTGTTACAATTTCTTTGTATGATAGAACTTCAAATACCTTTAGATGCATTGAACATACAATCTCAATGGGATTGAGCGCGCAAATACCATTTCATCCATACTTCAATTTTTCTTCCAAACATGTCCAGCTGATATGTACTGAAGATACTTTTGCTGGAGATTTCTGGCTCATGCCGTGGTGATCATCCTACTAGAGAAGCTAGGTGAGGTAGATGCCTAATTTTGATTTAGTCTGCTTGATTTAATCTAACCCAGGCCTCCGAAATCTAGGAGAGGATTTAGTGCCTAAAAGTCATGCCGGGGAGAAAGATGTCTCGAAGGGGGCTATGAGATACGACGTGATGTAGCCTTTGGTCGGGTATATCCTTTAGGTAAGACATACTATTCTGATCGTAACTGGAGCTACTGTTGGCTGATGCTCTTACATGGGGATTCACGCCTTTGAGATATATACTTGGAAGATATAACTCTTCGGCGACGCCGCTGTCAAGGCTTGCGGCATTTACCTTGATGGATCTTCTTACTTACTCTCCTTCAATGTACTGCATTTCGAACCTCGAGTAGCTCGTTAGGGTATTGAATGATGTTTACTCTAACCCGATCTCCCTGTTCTGCGATTTGTGTGAAGATACCGTCTTGTCTGTCTTATTTTGGCCACTATTAGAAGCATTGAATTACCCGCATTGATGCTACTTTATATTGGTAACGATTATATAATGTCGACGACTTTTCAGTCGACTTTCGTGTCTGGGAAGGACAAGGGAGCGCAAGTCAGAAAAGTTCAAGAAACGGACTATTAGTACTTCCCAATCACAAGCCGCAAGAAAACGCACGCTGTCGGTGCTCATCTGATAAGGTGAAAGAAACCGCGGCAAATCCATCCTACTTGCATGCGCTCTCGAAGTTCATCGTCATTTGCCCGAGACATGAGACGATGGTTGATTTGGCCAAGCTGCGTCCAGTCACATTTCACATAAATCGAGAAGTCAAAACAAATGATGACAAGTTGGAACTTGGCGTCTGAAGCCCGTGACGAGACCCGAGCGCGTTAAATCGGCCCAGCCTTGAACACGAGCCAATTGTGAAGTTGCGAAGGACAGAAAGCGGAAACCGATTGTCGGCCTCGGAAATTCCCCCCGATGTCACCGTACAATTAAAGTATAGCGGGTATTGGGATAACTTTTCTGACAGAATCAAAAGTCGAGTTTCTCTCAACCAGCTCCTCGTTCGGACCTGTGACTTCACCTTGGATTAATGGTGTTCCAATGCCAAGACGGACGACTCCAAAAGTGGAAGCTCCAATATTCTTCGTCCCATCGCGTCCACCAATTGTTTTTCCCCTTTCATGCACGCGTTTCACCCGAAGGGAACCATCAGTGTTCCACCACCCACAGTATTGACGCAGACATCGTCCATCAAATTGCCAAACTGAAAGCAGATTCGGTGAAAGGTCGCAGCCTAGTCTCTCATCCCTGAAGGGGACCTGGAGGGGCTGAACTTGCATTGCCATCCCGGCCCTGTAGGCGTGGGGCTACCCGCTCCTCCGCTGCCCGCCCGCTTGGAGGGGGCAGGCAATGAGACGACATGATAAATGGACTGTTCCTCCTCACAAGGCGAGCCTTCAGTTTGCACGTCTTGCCATGTCAGGCAGACCTCTATCGACTTGACCAAACCGCCATGGGCCTCAGATATCTCGCATGCGCCGCGGCAATAGCCGCGGTCGCGATGCATCCCTGGCTAGCCACGGCCGCCGACGTCGAGGCCAATATCACAGCCCTGACTGGTGGCGAACTCGAAGCCGATTGGACAAACATGTTCTACTCCAAAGAGAAGCCTCTACTGCTAGGAAACGATGGAGGTGCTGCGACGGGAGGCTTTCACGCGTGGGATCTGAACAGCGATTCGCCACTGTCCGAGGTCAAGTCCATGATCACTGGCCGAACAAAGATCATCACGACAGTCTACAATGTCACGGGGAAAGACTATGCGGTTACTATTGCGATGCCGGACTCCATAATTCGCGTCTACGAGATGCCAGGATTCAAGGAAATCGAGTCAGCCCAAGTGACCATGCTTGGAGACTGGGCAGCCATGTGCTCGTGGCGAACCAACAGTCTGAACGACTACGTCTTTCTCTTCGGTAAGAGTGTGGTAGTGCAGTATGTGGTCCGCCCGACCAAGGACTCCATTGAACTGGTGGAGGTGAGAAAGCCCGGTTCCAGCTCCTCAACTCATTTCTCACTGACTGAAACTTCAAACAGGTTCAAAGCATCCCAGTCCCAACAGAGTTCTCCGGCTGTGCTGTGGTACAATCACAGGCTAAAATGGTCGTTAATGCCGACGATGACAAGGATATCTACGTCTTCGATCTCAAGGAATCGACCATTGCCCCAGAAATCACCAAGCTTGGCGAGGCTGCGGAAGATGTGACTGGTATTGCAACATATGTCTCAAATTCCACCGGCACTGACTACCTGTTTGTCGCTCAAGAAAGTAGCATTGCTGTCTACAAGTACCCATTCGATCTTGTCGGCAATATCAAGCTTAATGGCCTCGAGGATATCGAAGTCCAGGGCCTCAGTATCTATCAGGGCTCAAGTTCAAAGTACCCTAGCGGCGCTCTTGGCTTTGCTGTCGAAGCAGACAACGTCGCTGGATTTGGAGTGGTGTCACTGGATAGTGCTCTCGATGATCTCGGGATAGAAGCCAACACCGCGTATGATCCTCGGAACGCAACTGGATCCCGCGACCGTTCTCCGATCTGCGACGCCTGCTCGAGCAACGGCTACTGTCAAGAGAATGCCCTAGGATGTGGCTGTTTCGCTGGCTTCACCGGCGACAAGTGCGATCAGGTCCAGTGCACGAAGGATTGCTCTGGACATGGCGAGTGTATCGGGCCGCAACAGTGCAAATGCGAGAATGGATGGGGAGGACTGTTCTGCTCGGCTGTCTTAGTCGAGGCTTCCTACGAAACTGACCAAAATGGCGGCGACGGAGATGATCCCGCCATTTGGATCTCGCCGGAATCAGCCGATAAGTCCCGCATCATTACTACGACCAAGTCCACTGAGGGTGCCGGCTTGGGTGTTTTCGATCTGAAGGGCAAGCTGCTCCAAACCCTGCCGGCGGCGGAGCCCAACAACGTCGATATGATCTATGGCTTCCAGGCTGGGAACAGGACTGTCGATCTCGCTTTCGCTGCCTGCCGTGGCGACGATACGCTTTGGTGAGTTGAGTATTTCAAGTCGCCTGAAACACCTTACACTGACACATTTGCAGTCTTTTCGAGATGACCTCGAATGGAACCCTGAAAGACATCCCCGGCGGCATTCAGCCTGTCCCGGAGGACTACAAAGTCTATGGGTCCTGCGTGTACAAGTCTCCCATCAGCGGCAAGCAATATCTCTTTGTCAACGAAAAGTCTGCTCGCTATCTACAATACGAGCTGACGTCCAACTCGAATGGTACTCTCCAGACCACTCTCGTTCGTGACTTTACAGGGGGTTCAGGCGGCCAGGTTGAGGGATGTGTAACGGACGAGGAGAATGGCTGGATCTTCCTCGGCGAAGAGCCCTCTGCCCTGTGGCGTTATGGTGCCGAGCCCGATTCTTCCGACGATGATGCCATTCAAATTGCCTTTGTAGGCGACGGCCAGACCTTCGCCGACGTGGAGGGCGTTACCCTCGTCTACGGCGTAAAACCTGATCAAGGATACATCCTCGTGTCTAATCAGGGCGTCAGTTCTTACAACGTGTATACTCGAGCCGATCCACACTACTATGTGACAACTTTCACAATTCCCAAGTCGTCGGATGGACAGATTGATGCGGTTTCGAATACCGATGGCATCACCGCGGTCGGGACACATCTTGGAAAGGACTTCCCTCACGGATTATTCGTTACTCACGATGATGCCAATCAACTGCCTGACGGTAGTACCAGTACCGAAGCTAGCTTTAAGCTAGTAAGCCTGGAGAAGATTCTGGGGGCCGATGTGATCAAGGCTATGAACCTCCTTGATAATGTTGATGCTAATTGGGACCCAAGGAAGTAATTAGAACAATGGGTCGACAATGTGACTACAAGCTTGCACAGAAGTCAATAATAATATATCAAACTTACTAGCCTGAACGATTGTAGTGATGGAAACCATGTGATCCACCGGTCTTGATGAAATACGTCTATGATACACCCCGCAAATGGCAATGTCACTGGCATGAAGTAAGCGGAGTCAGCGAGTTGCCGCTCAATTTCGACTTCTATTATGAACTTCAGAATGTGTCTAATTGAAAGGGGGATGCCGCTACCATATTGGAGAGATGCGACCTGAAAGATTTCAATCCACGAATTGATCACTCTTACTTCGCAACATCGCCAATACCGGAGTATGAAAGGTCCATTGCTACGGGCTTCTCCCATTCTCACCCACTCCCCTCTTCACCGGCACTCTTGTTCCAAGGCAGTTGAAACTATCAAACTGATCTAGGCGGGCGAATATTGCTGGGCCCTCTGGCGCGTAGGCGCTGTCGCCGATGTCGGTCTTCTGCCGCCGGAAGCAATGGCCCGTCCATGTATGGAGTTGTGATGTGCTTTGGCTTGCACATGATCTGTTGTGTTGCGATTTACTTGAATCAAGTATGCGTAAATGCGTTGACTTGGCTGGAGTCGATTCTCGTTCTCGCTTGTAATGACTGCGTCTTTCCGCGTTTGAGAAGAACATGTACCTACTTGGGCGATGTAGTGGGACTTGCTCAACCTGAGTAGTGGTGTAAAATGAGGAGTCCAACTCCTCGTTGAAGAATAGCTCGTGACTTATATACAAGTTCAGTAAGGCTCCTGAATCACTGCATACTCATACAATTCCCTCATCTTAGTCGTATGTGGGCTTAGTGTTGTTTGGGGCCACACAATACCACATTCACTACTAATAAAAGCCGAAGGCGAGACTCGCAAAGTT